GGTACATCAGTCAAACACCAGGCCCTGTAAAAAGTTACCTACACTTGAGCCATACTAAATTATATACTTCATATAACTTTATATATATATATATTTATAAGTTATATACTTTATATATAAGTGTTATATATATATATATATATGTGGGCAAACTGACCTTTCTCACGTTGCATGAAACGTCCAGCCTTCCTGTCGCTATACTGAGAGCCTTCTTAAATGGAAGGCCTTTGTTACAAACGACTTAAACAGCAAAAGAAAGGAAAAGACAGCCTTTTTTTTTAAATCAGTCTTTCCACTACTTCAGGAAGAGCTAACCATCAAGAAGCCAACACTCACAGAGCAAGAAAATTGTCTCCTTGAAACTAAGTAGACTATATTCAGGGCTGCACAAGCAACAAACATGAAATAGAGTAAGTTCAGAGGAAAGGGCAAATCTTCGTATGATAGCACTGTAAGACACGTCCTTATGGTGCCACATGAAGCCACTGAAGTGTCCTGCTCCTGATTCAGAAGTGATTCTTAAGCAAGCTGTGGTGGAGACTCCACCTCCTGTTATCTCAGTTAACTTCAGGATCTAAGCATGTGCTGGATTCCTCATAAGTCCTTTCAAATAAAGATTCAGCCTTCTGTTCAAGATACTTTCACATCATCTTCTGTATTAAAAGACAATTGCTCAGAGCAGAAGAAAGAACTGTATGATAGCAGTGTATGAAACTCGATAGCACACCCTTGACTTCAAAGTCTTCAATGGCTCTTTGTGATACCACCGAATGCAAAAGTGAAATGGAAATACAGCAAATAAAGCAGCAGAAGAGGAAGACGACGACTCTGGCAGAAATAGGAACATACCTGTAAACAATGCTGCCTCCAAGGAAAAGGCAGTTCAGTTTCTGAATGCAGGAGATGGACTATCAGTCAAAAGCTCTACAGCCATAACTGGTTGCCAAGAGAGCTGGTACTGAATGAAGGTCAGCATTGATAAAACTGATACTTCGGTCTCTTCCTCATTGATGAAGTGGCTATTAAACAAGCACCACAAACCTTTTAAATCTGTGATCTTACCATGAACTGTGACTCCAGTCTAACGCTGAACCGAGTAGTTCTGTTCCTCTGAACGGACTAGGTTTTCTACAAGCAGAGTCATCTCTGCAGAAACACGTGGGCCTCACCCTAGTGCAGCAATCCAGTTAAATGCCAGGCATACGGCCTCGGGAGGCGGGGGGAGCAGGGGGAAAGGCAACCCACAACAACAGAGCTAACTCAGCTACCCTGTTCCCCGCAAAATCAAGGATTGCTATGTAGCACCTCCTGTCTGTAGCAGTCACAGCTGGTAGGAGAGCTCTGTTTAGCCATAAGGTAGTTAACCCTTTGCAATTACTGCAACTAAGCTCTTGCCCAGAAAGGTTAATTTCTCTTTAATTGTACTCTGTGATAGAAGAGCTCTGTCATATTCTTCCCCTTCACACTCCCTGTAACTACACTATATACACTAGAAGCGGAAAGAAGAGAGGAACAAATTAAAAGTCAGCCTCAGAGGAGGTACTCTCTCATGAAACAAAGCATTAGAAGAAAGCGGATTTTACCAAACCTAAAACGGCAAAACAACATGTCTAAGTTTTGCACAGGACTTGTGATATGTAAACCTAGCAGCACCACTGCTAAAACCAGCTTTCTCATTGTCAAGTGTTTCCAGCTGGAAAACCAAACGGAGATGAAATCAGATCATCGAGCTGTTCAAACTACTCTCAAACTATCAGGTGTGGAACACACAAGCGGGCCACCACAGACCCAGCCTCCTCGATGCACAGATGCATGACTACGTAGAACAGAACCAGCAGCTACGGCAGCATCATCCCTCATTGAAACTGGTGGAGGGAGGGCAAACACACCATAATTTCTGAACACACTTTGAGTGAAAATTCTCAACTAGTTCTTCATACTCTCCTAAGTAGAGAGAAGTGTGCTCCAGTACAAATTACTAAGGTGATTAAGGGTGAACTTTCCTCACAAGTGCAGTCTATGAGAAGATTACTGAGGTGAAGCTTCATTTTTGGATAAAATTCCCAGCTACAGTTCTGAGATAAGACGGTGTCAAACAGCACCGAACTCAGTCCTGACTCTATGAACACAGTGTGAACACCCACAGGACAGCTGAGAAAAGAAAGAACAGTTTAAGGCCTTTATCCAAGTTAAGATGTGGATCTGTGTGTTTTGGAGGCAGCAAGGTCAAACAGGCCTGTCCTAGAGGACTTGGTTGCAAGAACTGAGCCTATGTTGATGGAAGACCTGCTCCTGAGATGGGGTTGCATGGAATTCCAGTATCTCCTACACAAACATCAGTATTAGAATTACTAGTTTCAGTCACCAAGAAGGGAGGAGGAGGGAGGGGCATTTCTTGAACTTTTCTTTTTCGTGGGGGCGGTCAGACTAAGTCTGCCACAACGTGTGGTACAGTAAAGTATATTTACTATTCATGACAATGAAGACTCGGATGAGGGCTGGAGTAGACCGATTCAATGCACCACAGGTGACCTATCCCCCAGCTGTAACCTCCTTTTTGGTGACATTTTTTCCAGACTGGAAGGATATAACAGGCAGGGAGGGAGAACCAGTCTGGAAACTGAGCATCAGTGATGGTGTGCAAAGTTGTGGACCTGTGTGCACCTCTGACATACAGTCCTTCCACTGTATTCAAGTGATTTTGATGGCTTTATAGGCCCCAGGCTTACGTCATCCACTTGTAAGCCATTTCTCTTCTGCTTCAGATAACAGCAAGTGTTTTCATGTCTTGCAAGAATATACTTGTTGTAGGCAAGGCAGAGTTGAAATTATGCCACCCAAAAGAATTATCTCCAGAATATTCAAGGGAAAAGAGCTTCTCTAAAACAACATAGCAAGGTCAGAGTAGAGAATGCCAAGTACACCGGGCAGCAAAATGCACAGTTCAAACCTAAAGAGCAAAACACTCAGAAAACAGGTGACTGTGCAGAAGAAGGCAGTACTAGCAGTAAAATATGAACCTTGAAGACCAGGAGTGAAGAGATAAATTAGATGAAACAACTCCTGGAGCATAGAACAACTGTGGCAAAGCACACCATCACCTCCCTCTTTATCCACATCAAGCATACAGGTGGCAGGATACACATCCGGTCTTCAGGCACCAAAGAGGTAAGCACCAACGTGTGATAACAAAGTGGCATCAGTGCATGCACAGCTACCATATGAACACGCACGTTCCGTAGCAATAAACAAAAAAGTGAGACCTTGAAAGACTTGTAACAAAAGTCAGTAACGTTCATCAAAAACCCAATCACTGGTAAGCGTACAAGTCTCACTCTCCAGAAAGCCTTCCAATAGTTTTTCTGTCCAAAAGCTCAAACTTCCAATACGTTAGACAGATCAGTTCAGTAACTGTGCCTTCAAGGACCACCTTGGAACACTGTGTTTCTGCCCCTTACCAAATTTTTTTGGCTAAGAATACACAACTGCTACACATAATCTTACAGCAAGAGTAAAAAGACTGTCTCCACCTGCTGAAAGGGAACAGCTAGATCCTGAATCATACATAGAGGTCAATCTTCTTTCTTCTTCAGTACAAATACACCAAAGAAAAATCAGACCTGTTGTGAAACATTTCCTACGTCTGCACTTTTAACTCATGAAAAAGAATATCTACAAAAAAAAGAACGTAAATTCACTGCAACAGTTACACACACTTTCTCAGAAACGTTTGCCCATGGCTAACTTACATGTATCCACAGTACTGTAAAATTAGGTAACCTTAAAACCAGGTCTTGGAAATCACACAATAGACCTGTAATTTCAAGAGAAAATATTTTCATTTTGATCATACTGGTTGACTAAGGTATTTTCATGTATTTCTTGCAGTATTAAGTGAAATATTTACACTCCTGCTTCCACTTTTGTAATTCTCTAACCTTTTAAGTAGAAAACTTACACCGTTGCAGATATAGAATACGAACTCAACATAGAGTCAAAGAGCTGTATTAAGTTGTATCTGCTACTAGTAGGAGAGACAAAAAAGTGCTTGATGTAAGTCAGGTTCACAGTTGCATATTAAAATAACTAAAGTTGAAATAGCTTCTTTAAAAACATATTTTGGAAATTTACATTTAGTTAGTACTGAATATATTTTGCATCCCTCTCCCTTAATCTTACATTGCACAAGTTTTCATTAATCTCAGTACCAAAAATTAAAATTCCTCAACTCATTTAAAATTTTATTCATTTAGAAGCTTAACTTAATGCTTTAAAATGTGTTATTTTAAAAAAAATAAATCAATCCAGACCAATTTCTCAAGCAAATGAAGTAGTGCAAAGCCTGTTCATAAATAAGAAATCCCTACAAATTCAGGGTTTTCTAGCCACACATTACAGGCTCCGGAATTTGTTTTTACTACAGAAACAAACAAACAAACAGAAAAAAACCTACAACCTGCCCTTAATGTCCTCTCTCCAGTTCAGAACCAATTTCCTGCCCTCAGTCACAAAGTTTTGTATGACAAACCTTTACTATAAGTGTAGACCTGCAACTCTGTGCACAACTGTTCTACCTGGAAAAAAATTCATCCAAATCAAGTAACTAGATTTCCTCTTACGAAAGTTCACTTTCAGCTCTAATGAGAGAAATTGAACATACACAAGGAATAGTTAAAAAAAAATAAAACAATACTTGGAAAAACCTACAGTAAAAATTAAATTATATAGGATTTTTTTTTTCTTATATAAGGATGGATTTTAAGTTTCACGAAGACAAAGAAATTAATACTTGACAAGTATTAAGGCATGAAAAATGTCATTACTCCCAATGGATTCGTTACATCCAACTGAAAAGTGTTATAATTTTTTTTAATATTTTTTTCTTGGTTGCAATATAGAACTTGCTTTCTTTGATTCCAAGCTTCTTCAAGAAATTCTTGGTTTATACAAACCAAATAACAAATATGTGATGTCCTCAAAATAGTATCAGGAGCACTTACTCATCATACTTGATATGATAAATAGCTTCTTCATCAGTGTCCATACAGTCTGAATAAGATGTGGATGGTGTACTGTCCAAATTATTTGCGTTTTCTCTAGAATGATCTTGACTTAAGTTTCCATTAGTCCTTTTGTAAGTGTTACCCCTCTTTCCTTGAGCTTTGCCATTCTTATGTCCCTTTGTTGCTCGGGTAACATTTTCTATATGAGCTTCAAACCAGGCTCCAATGCTGACATCACGGGCATCCACCAATTCGTTTATCTAAAAGGAAAATTCAATAATGAATTTATGCTTATTTTATTTAGATCCAACAAAGAAAAACAACCCACAACTTATCACGCTACTGCTCAACTTTGTTATCAGTAAAACAATCAACTGTAGTAACTAGTTGAGCAAGTTCAAGTAACACGTAGTCATGAATGTTACACTTTCAGTAGTTATTACTCTTCCCTCATTAATATTGAGTATGAATATAATCTGTACGTGATTTTCAAAAGCAGACCAGATTTCTTTTTTTGTCGTTGTGGGGTTTTTTTGGTGTTTGGTTGTTTTTTTTTTTCCCCTCCTGCAAACCTGAAAGTTAGCTTAATCTCTCTCATTATCCTTTCCTCCTGCTTCACCAATTGTTCTTCATGGCTAAAATAAGGATACACACCATTAAAACACGAGCTCACAACCGAAGGGTTTAAAGATTTTCCTGAGCTTCCAACTTGTCATTATTATTTAACCTTCTTTCTTTCTGGCCTGGAAGATTGTTTTAACCCTTCAAGACTCAAGGAGAGAGAGGGAGGAAACAAGTCTAACAAGGTTGCTACTACAGTCAGCCAAAATCTTATGACTGTAAGAAATGGAACTATGTCCCAGAATTTCTCCCTTCTGTACTCACAGTAATACTGTCATTAAGCAACCAAACCACTTTACTATTCTAAATCATGTTTCATTTTCTCAAGTCTTCAGCTGATTAAGCAGATGCTCCTTTTAATAATACTGAGAACACTGTGGAAAGAAAAGAGATTTAAAGAACACTTCATCAACAGCACACCAAGTATAAAAAAATTATTATAACAGAACTGCTGCACAGCCATACCACGGAAAACACCTATAATATACAATACGAGGTACATATACATATATACACACACCCCCACGCACATACATATGTGTGTATGCATGTGGTTTAAGCTACAGCCTTTGTCAAGTACCAACACAGTGGCAGACAGACACTCACTCTTACTAACCCCAAAGGCTAGTTCGCATAAACTGAACAATCTTACTGCATTTTCACAAGAGCAAGCAAAAAAACATGCTCAATAACTTTTAGCACTCAGGGTGAAGCAGTCCTTGGGTATCTGCAAGTACAACTGACAGCAGTTTGAGCTAACAAGTTTATCTCAAGAAAGCAGTACTTCGTATTTTACTCTTTTCATTCACCTTCTTAAATTTACCTCCGAAACTAAATCCTTTTATTTTTCCTCACAGGCAATCTACCAATATGTGGGGGGTTTTATTTTCATTCTTACGACCTAGAGTATTCAAAGTACAGTTTTTTACCGGGATGAAAATTTCAGCCACATAATAAACAACTCGGGGAAGGACAGCCTCATTTTTAAATCTGTCAATCTATTTTAAGCATAAACAGTGGATCCTAGCACTTCTAGAAGGAACCCTCACGAAGGCATCCCTACACAACCCTGTACGTTGGAATTAGTTGTTGCTCAAAGTGCTTCCTCACTGCCTCCTCTCAAAAACATGGTTGAGCAAGACACACACTACTGATTCCCCCATCTGCTGCTGCTTCCTGTGACCAGTTATGAAAGTGCCAGAGAAGCCATGTTAGCCAAGTAAAAAATCACCATCAGATCAGGAATAAAAAAACAACACAACAATAAAAACACAAACCAATGCAAACTCCCTTAGTCATTCCTCTCCAACGCATCCTTCCATAATTTGATGTGCACACTTACACAACACACTTCCCACCCTTGCAAAGAACAAGGACAAATAATTAGTACTACAGACCACTGAGGAACATCAGACAACTATTTTATGTTAGTGGTGTCGGGTGTAAGAACTGGGTTATTAGTAGCTCTTTGTGAACAGCATTAAACAAATACAGATTTTAATTACAGACTCAGTTTCTGTGGTTTTTTATTCCAAGCTAGTTAAGAGTTCTCAGCTAAAATATTTTTTCTTACAGCCAAAGATTTTTGGATGAAAAGTTACGAAGACTAAGAATCGGGAGGGCACATGCTTCTGAATGAGCTTTTTTTTTTTTTATTTAATATCATTTCTGCATGCCCAACCAATGTTACTGTAACTCCTCTCTTCTAACGAGCAACAGGAGTCTAATGTATAGTTCTACCCACTAGTCCTTCAGAGCCCCTGTAAATATTGGATGTCAGGTACAACTGGAATATAAAACAAGTGAAAGCATTGCAATTTACGGAATATACAATGACACTCTGAGGAGCTCTGCTTAAACCGCTATTTTAACCATCTAATAATAATTTAATCATTATTAACTACTACTTCCAATATCAACTCTACCACTTTTTTTTTTTTTTAAATTACATGTTCCAAACTGGCTACCTTTCCGTTTGGCAGCTGAAATGAGAAAGAAAAAGGAGGTCACCGAGGCTGAGAGTATTCACAACGCGGAGTACTTAGGAACAGGTATCTTGTTGAGTCTAGCTGCAGATGCAGATCTAGCGAGGCACAGGACTTTCCTCAGACAGAAAAAAAAACATAGCAAACCATTCCTTCCTAGAACGAGACAATTCCTTATTGTCTGACAAAAAAGCAAATGCAAAATATTTCAACACCTCTATCTATCCAGCCATCTAAAACAGCTTAGTTTATGGCCTTTTTTATTGACTTATTAAACAAGTTTACTAGCTTTGAATTACATTATTGGCTAAAAATATATTCTTAAAAGTTTCCTGATCCTGAAAGAAGAAATAATCTATACATTCCTACTGTCATCTACAAACAGCAAAGAATGCAATGACTGTATCGCTATTTTTCTCTATATATATTAAAAACACGTGGTTGGCTGAAAAAGTAATTAAAATCATAGGTAACAACGGAGAAAGTGTTAGATTCCTAGCACTGGAGATTGCAAAAATTGCACTTGACTCAACAGAAGAGGTTTCCTTAAGTATGTTTGCCAATATCACCATTCCCTGTTCTGTTTTCTGTTTTAATCCTGAACAAAACAGCTAAGAGACTGCCTGATAAAATTTTTAGCATTCTTGAAAACATACATTTTAATATTCCTTTCCTTTGATCAACTGATCTTCTGCAGCCTCCCATCTCCCCAGCATTCTCCCCATCCTTTCTTGTCTTACCTTTTACGCTCATCGATTAACTGTAAAGCATCAGGAATGAAGAACTGGGGTTTTTTTCCCCACCATAAAAAATGGAGATGAAAGAAAAATAAGGAAGTACACAAGCTTGTGTCTCCATATTCAAGCTACTCGTTTTTGACTCCCTGACTCCTCAGAAAATGAATAAAACTCAGTTGCACAGCATGCTGCGGGAACACAGAGCAATTAACTTACCATTTGTTCTCAATACCTCAGAAAGAGGTGTTTTCTCAGGTACTAAGAAAATGTTTTTAAGAGAAACATTAAGTAACAGTCTACACAAACTAAGGTAGCTTCCCATCAGGACGACAGGTCTAAACAACAGCATTCTTCTAACTGAAATTAACTTGTATACCTATGGCAGCCTCCACCTCCTCTTCCTTCTGTAATTTTGGACATTTTATGGAGAGCAGCCCTGAGGAAAAGGACTTGGGAGTGCTGGTGGATGAGAAGCTCAACATCAGCTGGCAATGTGTGCTGGCAGCCCAGAGAGCCAACCGTGTCCTGGGCTGTATCAAAAGGAGCGTGGCCAGCAGGTCGAGGGAAGTGATTCTGCCCCTCTGCTCTGCTCTCATGAGACCCCCCCTGGAATACTGTGTTCAGCTCTGGAGTCCCCAGCACAAGAAGGACATGGAGCTGTTGGAGCGGGTCCAGAGGAGGCCACGAGGATGATCAGAGGGCTGAAGCACCTCTGCTATGAAGACAGGCTGAGAGAGTTGGGGCTGTTCAGCCTGGAGAAGAGAAGGCTCCGGGGTGATCTTATTGCAGCTTTCCAGTACCTAGAGGAGGCCTACAGGAAAGCTGGGGAAGGGCTTTTTACAAGGGCATGTAGTGATAGGACAAGGAGCAACGGATTTACTGAAAGAGGGCAGATTTAGGTTGGATATAATGAAAGACGGCAGATTTAGGTTGGATATAAGAAAGAAAT